CTCATTCACCCTGAGTGTGTGTGTTCATCTCATTCACCCTGAGTGTGAGAGCATGCAGAGGTCAAAGGTCATGTTTGATTGACTACGGTTCTTGGAAAACTATCTCAGCAAAGGAAAATTAGACGATTTTAGAGCTCGTCACTCTTCTGAATATTGATTTCTGTTTCGGTTCAATTTATCTGCCCTTTAGAATGAGCACAGTAGCTGTGTCCTGTCTCCTGTGTCCTTTCTCTTGTCTTATGTCTCCTGTCTTCTGTGTCCTGTCTCCAGTCTACAGTCTACTTTCTCCCATTTCATGTGTCCTTTGTATGTTATCCTGTCTCCTTTGTCCTGTCCTGTCTCCTGTCCTTCTGTCTCCTTCGTCCTGTGTCCTGTCCTCTTGTCTCCTGTCCTCCTGTGTCCTGTCCTCCTGTCTCCTGTCCTCCTGTCTCCTACGTCCTGTGTCCTGTGCTCCTGCCTCCTGCCTCCTGCCTCCTGCCTCCTGGATGACATCATCCCCATGGAGTCAGATAACTCACCTGGTGATGAAACAAGGTTTTTCAGAGTAACAAACCTGAATTAGATCTTTAAATTCTGTCCTGCTCAGAAGACGTCTGCGTATCTAGTTCACATTTTTCACCTGAAGTTCTTTACTTCAAACTACATTTATAGATTTGAATAAACCGTAAACTAATAACTGACAGGAGCATTCTGGATGCTCTGCGGAGTTTCCTTCAGTTTCCTGACGGCAGCAGAGGCCTCTATCTTGGAATGGCTCCTCGGAGCTGTTTGTGCAGGAGAATGGCAGAGGCAGGTGAACGGATCAGCTGCACCTCTTCCTCTCTGATAATAGATTGGTGAGCTATCTATAGAGACAATCCACATCGGCATCGTTGCCAGGGCGACGGTAAAGTTAAAGTTAAAGTTAGCCAGTCATCCAACAGAACTTACTGCAGGTCCTCACTTGTTGCACTAAGCACAGCAAACAAAACACACTTTATTATTATTATTATTATTATTAATATTACTATTATAAATATTTTACACAAAGCTGACTGTAACTCAGCCATTTTCACAGATATTGAGCTAAAGGTTGGAGTGGTAGTAGCTGAGAGTTGTTGACAACTCACCTGACCAGGTGATGATAATGTCTATAACTCTCAAACATATTGTAAATAAAACAGTAAAAATGAATGCTGTATTATAATGTATTAATTGTTTACTGGTTAATGTAAATAAAACATGCAGAAACAAAAGTAAAAAGCAACTCCTTGATAAACGTAACGTGTAAGTTGGTCCGGTCCGCGAGTTGGCCTTCTCCCACAATTCATATTTTAATGTTTTATCATGAGATGCTGTTGATACACGGCACAACCTGAGTCACAGTTTTTAAAAATATATTTTCACTCTTTATGTTTGAGAGTGGGGAATGGTGGCGCAGAGGTTAGAGAAGGTGGGCCTGTAATTGGAAGGTCGCCGGTTCAACTCTCAGTACCGACAACATCAAAATGTGGGTGGAATAGGTGAAACACCCACACCTACCTCCACCCTCATTTGCCCCACTCTGGGCCCTTGAGCAAGGCCCTTAACCCCCACCATCTGCTCCCCCAGGAGCCATAGATGACAGCTCTCTGCTCCACACAGAGGGCTGTGGTAGTTCGGTGGTCTGTGGTTGTGTCAGGAAGGACATCCGGAGTAAAATAATTTTCAAGACTTGGTGCGACTTCGTTCACTGTGGCGACCCCTGAAGAAGGGAGCAGCTGAAAGAAGAAGAAAAACTCTTTATTTTTGAGAGTAATGATAATAATTACCATCAAAATAAACATTTTTATAAAAAAAAAATTATGCACATTTTTCTATTATTGTCCCTTATTTAAAAAAGGGTAGGGGGAAATAGAACTAAAACACTTATTATTATTTATTGGTGGTAGTTCTAATGATTGTGGCTGAAACATGATTGAGTTTCTTTGAATAAATGGAATAAATGAATTGTGTATTTGACATGTGGGGACTACTCGTCCCTTCAGATCCTCTGCACGGACGGTTTGTTGTCGTTTCCAACTCCGCTGCAGACTCTGAGCCTCGTTGTGTTGTTGCTGTCTCTCCAGGGGGGCCTTGGTGGTCTCTGGGAACGTGACGGTGGACATGGACTTCCTGCGGGCCGGCGTGGAGGTCAGCTTTGAGACGGAGGCGTCACTGGACTTCATCACCACCGTGCAGTTCTCTGAATACCCCTTCCTGGTGTGCATGCAGATGGACAAGGCTACCTTCCCTGTCAGGTAACGATCAAAGCACCAAATAATTTTTTTTTACTGAACCGATCACTGCAACACTCCGCTTTCTGTTTGTTTCAGTGAATCTGTGTCCACGTACGAGAGCGTGTCTTCAGGGAGGAGCGTCACGTCCCGCAGGAGCAGGAAGCAGCTCCTCCCCGGCTCGGAGTTCCCTCTCCATCAGCAGAACTCCAACATGTGCAAAAAGGTGTTCGACTCCAGCTGGTAGACAGGACTGTGAACCGTCGCCATCTTTCAGGGAAAGATGAAACCCTTTATTCCTCAGGGAGTGACAGGTCACGACGAGCAAACGTGGACAATGTCTTTTCCTAAAGCAACGTTTTATTTAAGTGATTTTAATTCAATGTTTGGTTTCAAATTGGGAATTATTGACTTGTGTTTTGAAGGATTTCTTCAAAAACTGTATTTATGATGAGCACAAAGTGTAATGTATATTTTGGTATGTAATACTCATCATAAGTTCAATTAGTGACTTATCATCACGGTTGAAGAGGATCTTGTAAATATTACCTGGAGTGAGAGCAGGACCGGCCCCGATCCAACAAAACTCTGTTTTTTTTTTTATATTTAAATGGTTGTTAAAGGAGGAGCAGTTCATCATTTTACTTCCAACATGTCAAATAAATTGGATTTTAGGATCATGAATTTCTTTGTATGATCTTGTTTTATCGTCCTAAAAAACTTAACACGTGTATGTTTTATTTCATAACGGCAGAGTTTGAGCAGAAATAGGGAAACAACGGTGACTCGGTTGACTTGAATTTTCTCTACACGTCTGTGATTTATGTGTCTTGGAAAGTTTAGAGAGGTTTTCCATGAATAAGATTCTGTTTGATCCGTTCTTGAAAAACAATAAATGTGCCCAGAAAATATGTTCACGCCTTCCACCAAAGGTTAAAGGAGATGTTTGTGCCTGTGTTTGCCTGTTAGAAAAATATCTCATCACTTGTTGGTTGGACTCACAAAGTTCTCAGTGGATGAATGTGAGCTGCACACTGCACGCTGCATGCTGCACGCTGCACGCTGCACGCTGCACGCTGCACGATGCACGATGCACGCTGCACGCTGCACGATGCACGCTGCACGCTGCACGCTGCACGATGCACGCTGCACGCTGCACGATGCACGCTGCAC